AAAAGATCATTTTTTACAAGAGAGGATCCTTGAAAAGTCTGTCTTTCAAAATTTACAAGACTTTTAGACTGAATTCAAATTTCAAAAGTATTTACCGCTTCTGCCTTTTTTATACTTTGTGTAAATTTAGATGTGAAAATCATCGTTTGCCAGCGCAGACGGGAATTGGACAACCTATACCGAGATTGAAAAGGTTATGTCACCACTATGGATCTTTAGGAATTAGCGATGGATTTCATTACATTATATCATGCAATTTTTGCATCAAAGATAGAGAAAAATAATACCACATTATTCATGTTATTTTACCGTCCAAAAATGCTAACATTATTATAATGACAATTGTATTATTTTTCTGAAAATGTTGTTGAACTAGAAGTCACTGTGTAGATTTATATGATATATATCAGTGAAAGTCTGTCTTCCTTGTTAGAGTTCCATACTTTTATATTGTTATTTATTTTAGGAATGACTGTAATATTTTTTTCTGTCTATGTAAAAATAACATAAAAAATATGGTGTACACTGAATAACTTGCGTAGCGGGTTATTTAAAACCGTGTACCACATTTATTAGGTTATTTCGAATATGAAAAAAAAATGAAACAGTCATTCCTGATAACTTAATTCTAAATTCCATTTTTAAGGAGAAAAACATAAAACAAAACGTTGATGACGTCACGGTCACGGTCACTTGACAAAATTATGTCTATGAGCTGACAGACAAAACACTTTCAGCCAATAAGAAGACGTGTTACAACCAACATTAAACTATTTTTACATATGAAAAACAAAAACGTATCATATATGCACTGGTATGTCTCTGTAGCTATGTACTTGTTTATGAGAATAGAAAATTCATTCATTCATACACTATAATATTCCTGTTTAAAAACACTGGCCATCCAATGTAAATTTTGATGTGAAATTTATCCCAGACCGGTAACAAAGTAAAGTATATCAGTAAAGTATATAAATTTCAACCATGTAATACTATAGAAATATATGTTTTGTGTAAATTCAACGAAAATGAAGAATTCTTATTATTCTTATTAAAATTAGGCTTCGTATACGCTTCAATTGGGCATATAATTTGTAAAAATCTGGATATTAAGTTGACATAACGTATTTGTTTGTAGTTGCTATTTGGATTCTGAATAATAATTTTTTTTTTCGTGAGTTTCCTCGTGAGTTTCCTCGGGGTTCTGAGTTAGAATTGTTTTGTTAATAAATGCGTCCTTGATTCTGAACTATGACTTATTCAATTCATGCCTTATTTCAGGATTCCGAACTTTGGTTTGTTTAGATTGAGTATTTCCCTCCGGACTGGGACATATAATTACCCACATTCGTGTATTTCCCTCCGGATTGGAACATATAATTTATTTTCAATCGTTTTTTTTTACCTTTATTGCAATCAGTTATGCTATTTTCGTAGATCTTGGATTACACTAATTTTTATAATTTCTAAGATAATTGGCAGAACTAAAAAAAAAAGCCATCAAATGTCACTTAAGGGTAATATCTCCTTTATGAATTTTTAAATGTTACAGCCATTGTGCATTTTTGTCGCTCTTGCACAGCTGACAATTTTTGCTTTCTACAGTTTCTACCTATCTTTTATATTTTCAAGAACTTTTTCAAAATAATTAAAAAAGTATGTTTTAATGGCACTCATGATGATCGGTTGAAGTGGACCGAAGCGGTCTAGTTACATGTATTAGAGTTATTTCCCTTTTTTGTATTTGTTGGTTTCATTCATAAACGGTAAATCATAGAGTCTTTTGATGTGAGGTCCTTGGTCCCAAAAGCAGGATAATGAGACCAAGGTCAAAGGTCAAGGTCATGTTCTAAATATCACAACTCCTCACAAACCGTAAAAGTAAACGCAACGCCAGTACATTTGGATCGGAGTACTTAAGTGATTTTTTTATAGAAGTGTCCCTCCCCCTTAAATATCTAAATAAGCTGAATGGTAGGATAACTTCTTAATCATACATTTTATAAACCTGGGTCTTTTGATTTGTATTATAAAAAAGTGAAAGAAATTGTTTAAATGGCACTCATGATGATCGGTTGAATTTGACCGAGGCGGTCCAGCTACATGTAATAGCGTTACTTCCTTTTTGTTGTATTTGTTTGTGTAATTCATGAATGTCGTCATTCACCTCAAAAGCTAACCAAACCTTTAAACAGGCTTATCCAGAAGGAACATAGTTACGATACTGTTGTCAGGTTATTACAGATGGTCGGGTTGTTGTCTCTTTGGCACATTCCCCATTTCCATTCTCAATTTTATATTAAAAACCTTGGTCTTTTGATTTGAGATCGATACCCTTTGATCTTGGAATTGAGGTGCAGGTTAAAGGTCAATTTGAAGTTATAGATTTAACCTTTTCTATAACTTTATTCTGGTACATGATAAAGTTTGTTTAGCATTAAGCTGGTCGACATATGACCGTCATTAATGTCAACCGGAAGTGACCATGTCTCAATTATTTCAAGCAAACGCATATCGAACCAATGTGTAAATCATAAACCATAAATCTTAAGTGACCAAGAGTTGATTCCTGGTCTATAGACAGGAAACTGAGGCCAAGGTCATGTTCCTAATTTTGAACTTTGTTTAAAAACTCCTCAGAAACCGCAAAAGTAACCGACATAAGGTTTTTGTCAAAATGTATGTTACTATAAACATAACGCCAATCCGTTGCGTTGAAGCGCTTTGATGACTCTCTTCAGAAGTTTTCGTCACTTAAATATTTAAAATAAGCTGCTTTGAAGGATAAGGTCTTAACCATTCACATTAGAGACTCGGATGTTTTGAAATGAGATCCTTGACCTTGTTATTGAGGTAAAGTTCAATAGCCAATTTGACGTTCAAGAATATGACCATGGTTCTTATTGTTATTCCACATTTAAAAAGAGTAAGACAAAAAACAAAATGGAACTAAATGTAAAGAACAGTAGGGCGAAGAATTGGTACTTTTACTATTATTAGTAGTTTAAACCTATTTGAGAACATTTTGTAGGAGTTAATGCGCTTTTGCTACTTAAAGTGATGATTTATTTGTTAGCTTCATACTGATAAATGATACCTCCATGGGGTCTTTTGCCTAAGGTTCAGAGAAAAAGGTCAACAGAAAGTGACCTGATGTAAACTCGAATTAGCCATTTTTGCATTAGTTTCATGCAATATCACTTGAAAACCATATATTTTCGGAATCACTATAAAGTAAACAATCATACGACATCAGAAATAAAATAGTGTAAACGTGAAGTAGCAATTTCTTTCCTTTATTTTAAGCAAAATATCATAGAAACCATAATTTTTTGGAATCAGTGTTATGTAAGTTATCATCTGACACACGTGAAGTGACTTTTTATAACCTAAAACATCAAAATAAAATTGAGAATGGAAATGGGGAATGTGTCGAAGAGACAACAACCCGACCATAGAGCAGACAACAGCCGAAGGCCACCAATGGGTCTTCAATGCAGCGAGAAACTCCCGCACCCGGAAGCGTCCTTCAGCTGGCCCCTAAACAAATATGTATACTAGTTAAGTGATAATGGACGTCATACTAAACTCCAAATTATACACAAGAAACTAAAATTAAAAATGATACAAGACTAACAAAGGCCAGAGGCTCCTGACTTGGGACAGGCGCAAAAATGCGGCGGGATTAAACATGATTTTTGAGATCTCAACCCTCCCCTATACCTCTAGCCAATGTAGAAAAAACAAACGTACAACAGTAGGCACAGTAAAACTCAGTTTAAGAGAAGTCTGAGTCCGATGACAGAATAGGAAACAAAAGAAAATAAACAAAATGACAATAATACATAAATAACAACAGACTACTAATATACAATAATTCTAATTTTAGTCGGTGTTAAGTAAGCTATCGTTTCATTTAATCGAAAGATGCTGATTATCTACTTTCCAAATACAAATTTTCAAATATCAATTTATTATGAAATTATTGTTACCCAAGCTTTTTTCGTATGCTTAAAGTGACTTTTTAAACTGCAAAGTACTATAGTTTTCTTATATTTTATACAAAAAAAAATCTCTTAACCTCTTTTATCTTTAAAACAAATTCATTTGAACTTAAATGATCACCAAGTGTGAATAAGTAGATGGAAAGACCCTCAATTGTTCCTCCAAGCCCTTTATTTTTTTTTATTTTTTTTTTATATTTTTTTTATTTATTGTAGTAGCTGTGAACAGTTATTACCGTGTTCAAACAATATGTCAGAAGGTTAAGAGAGGAACCACAATTGACTCTAATAAATGGAAAAAACTTTTCCAAATTATGAAGTGCATCTAAAGACAACACACTTCTACAAACCAAAAAAAAATGTGCAAACCAAAGATTTAAGCTATGTCATGATAATGTTTGTTGTCAACCTGTTATCACAATTACTTCTACGGGAGTATTAAGCAACCTTCACTTCATGAAGGTACCGTACGTTGGGTGTTATTACATTATTAAGTATAGTGACACTTTTCGTTCACAATATATTAACCTTTTTTAAATCCCAGTACCAATGTTTGTTCGAAAAATATTGCAAAATAATATCACATCAATTGGTCATTTGACTTTTATATGTCTTTTGGCGTTCCTTTCATTCATTTGTAAAATTTTATGTACATTTATTTAGTGATACTGGCTACCAAAATCATCAATTGCATTACAGATATATTTTGTAGACCATAACTTTATATGTACTCAAATGTAAAATAATAAGACCGCATTAATCTGTAATTTGTTGATGTCATTGTAGCCAAATTACTTGATTAATTTGTTAACAAATCTCTGACAATGGAAATGCAACGAATTGACAGCATGTACTAACTTAAATAGACAGTCCTGTATATAGTACCGCTGTACGTACTGGATCAAGCATAAATCATGAAAAACATCAAACATTTTACATATGAACTGCTTATATTATGTTTGAAATTCTACATTGAAAGTTATAACACAACAGGTATGTTGTTTTGATACATTTTAATTTCGAGTAGTAAATTTTAACATAGATAGCCTAGTCAGTTTCTGACTTAGAAATAATTTATGATACAAAACTTTCTGCTTATTTAAATTGAATATGACTGAGATAGAATTATCAAAATTGTTAGTATGCTTTATAAGTTTCGATATATTTCGCAATTCAAAGATAATCCTAAACCCGTCTGATCATCATGCGTGCAAACTTCATAGAATAGCTTTGTGTTTTTATCAAATTCCAACTGACAACATCCCAGTGACTTGTTTTTCCTTTCTTGTAGACACCGTTGAGATTAACATGATGACAGCCCTTGTACCACCATCCTCCTTTAGCTGTTTTTGCACAGTCTCTTGAGTCTTTTTCATTGTCTTGATCCTTTGTTGAAAACTTCGATCCATTATGATACTTCAATCCATCTTCTGTAATGACATAAAATGATGATACCAATAACATATTAAAAATAAAATTCAATAAACATTCTATTTTTAGTTTCAATTTTTGAACCTTTTGAATTTTTTTTACATTTAAAAATATCTTTAATACTGCCATTTAATATTCATGATTTATAAATACCAAAGGTTTTATGTGATATTCTTGAAAAAGATACCAGTATATATTTACATATTTATTGAAAATTCAAAATAGTCTGTTTAATCTAAATAATGTAACAAGAAATTTGTTAGTGATAGGTCTACAGCTGTTAACGAAATCGCCATACTTGAAAATATTTTCGTTTTCCTTATCAAATCAGTGCATCTTACATGTAGTTACCAGGCTTAAATTTTTGAATGCTAGAAGCACGTTTCGTCAACATAAGACTGATCAGTGTCGATCGAATAAAAGTTAAAAAGGCAAAATAAAGGACGAAGTTGAATGAGATACGGAAACGGAAATTGTTATGATCGATTATATTTTACTACCCAAATTTACCAATATGAAAACTGAAATCATCGCGTTTGTAATAAATGTTTTGAAATGTCGGTTGTGGTGGTCAATTTCAGAAAAAAAGATTGAAAACTTATAAAAGCAATTGGAAGGTGTAAAGATTTTCTCTGCAAAGTGAATATTTCAATTTTGAACCATAGGAGGTTTTGAATTAATAAATCGATTATATTTGTATTCCTTAAACGGGCGGACATAGTCTTCTTCAGATATCTTTTATGTTGTAGGGGTGAAAATTATCCTGAATATTTTTTGTTTACAGGCTCTACTTAAACATTCAATACTTTAAATTAAATATTCTTCTAATTATATATTAGACACTGGTTAACAATAGTTTTATTATCATTTAACTTAATTTAAACGGTGTTCCGCATGTAAATCTCTATGACCTTTTAATCTCTGTAAAGGTTGTGCATTCATTTGTATTTGAAATTAATAAGATCAAAACAATATTGTCACATGGTAGTCTGAATTCTATAGTGAAATGGTACAACTTTCGTTTAGGTCTTGAAAAATTAAGATCAATTTCTTAATCAATATTGAAAATCTTTTGTTTAAGTTGAAATCTGTGAAATTGTTAGATATCTTGTCATTCAAAGATACTTATAAGAGAAGAAACACAACGAATTCATTCATTAGATTAATGCAAAAGTTTATAATTGCATTTTTGGTTTGATTAAATAAACTTACTTGCATTCCCACTGTATCCTCCAACCGTCAAAATATACTTGGTTGCTTCATTTCCAACTGCGAATGTCTTGTAGATGGCATACCATTTGTTCCCAATCCAGTCACCTAAATCTATCCTTAACTCATACTTTCCACTTGAAGTCAATATATGTATATTATCATTCCCTGTTTTAAAAAAGCAAGGAGTATACGATTGAAATTAACAAAATGTATGTTAAACCGTTTGAAATATTTATCATTTGCTTTCTTTAATACATTAATATTACATGAAACAGTCAGAATAAATTTCTTATTTAATTGATAGCGTTTGATTTTAACAGTTTTTATGGACTTCCCCCTATTTGAATTTGCCTTGGAGTTCTGTATTTTTGTTTTACTGGTTTTTGTACAACATGTTGAATATTAATGTGAGTGTATAACATTTACCAGAAATGAAATTGTTTCTATTATTTCTATTTCATCAGCAGCGAATGCAAGATGAAATAATAAATCAAAACCTAATTGCACTCATACAACAATTACCTAGCCAAAAACTCTTTTTGACATTCCCAAATCCTTTTCTGTACTCTGCCCATGTTCTGTAAAAATTTGTTATATCCTGTCGTCTCTGTAATACCTTTACAAAATAAAGAACAAAAAGGCATTATTTATGTTTTAATTTATATCAATGCATAACAAAATAAAACTTTCCCAGTATCATCATAATTATAATAGAAAATACATAAACTCCATTGGTATTTCAAAAGGGGTAATACGTAATGCAGAATCTGTTTCACATTATTTACCACGTACGTTAAGTTTTCTGTTGCAAAATGGTTTTATCAAATAGTCCAAGAACAGCGTTTTGTCATTAGAAATAAGGACATTTTGAAATCAACCCATAGTTTTCTTGTCGAAGAAGCATAGTGCAAAACTAAAAGCTTCTTAACAAACATTTAAAGGTACAGGTATTGAAAAGGTGTACTTTATTAAAAACTCCAATTTCATATTCTACCTTATAGAAAAATTCAATAAATATTTGACAAAAATGAAATCACAGATTGAAACTTAATACCTTTTCGATAAATGGCAAGAAAATCATGCCCAGAATAAACAGCCCAAACTGATTAAAAAAATATATAAATAGTTTATTACACTAAAGAGCAAAGATTCAGTAAATTAAAAAGCAACAAAAAATAGAAGGTAATCTTCGGGAGAAATTTGAATATGAAAATCACAAATAAATGTTGCTGGAGAAAAGCACCGTATGTAGTTTTTTTATTCGATTGAAAAGTCACACATGTCTACTGTCGTCAATGTCTTCCTTAATGATAATGACAGTAATACTTTACTCGGTTATTGTCTTTCTTATTCAGTTTACCGTCTAGTAAAATTAATTTAATACTGAAAGGTAATGATACACCTACCGTCCAACCTCCATCGTATTCATCCATGTTACAGTAAACAGTCATAGCTGTAGATTTGTCTGGGTATATAGTGTAGACACCGCTCTTCTTATGTACCTTCTTCAATTCAGAACAGTCCTGTGGTTTATTTAAACCCAAAGGTTTGCATAGACCTACAATTAATAATCAAATATTTATTATTGTCATAAGCCTTACCATAGATTGGCAACATCCCCTATAAAAACTGTCATGCATAGCTTCACAAAGACGGAAAAAAAAACATACAACATGCAAACGTCGACTGGACAAATCATCTAAATGTAAAAACACGCTTGTGAAGATATTTGTTGAACGGGAATTTCAAAATAAAAATAATAAAACATATGTGTATACTTAATACATAACTAACATTTGTAATTCCTTAAATTAAAGGTGTTTTATGTTTCTTTTTTTCAGCTAACGAATGCACAGTTAAGGTCATACGAAAGAGAGATTTCAGGGGAAAACAAAAAATATCCTTTGACCGGTGCATGTTTATTGTACTTTTTCTTATATCAAAAGAGATATTTTTTTAATTCTGTGTTTCATTTTACCTTTGTAGCATTCAGAAATATTATGTAAGAAAACAAAATGTACAAAATTCAATTCAATAATTATTAAAAACATTTGTCAGTTTGATTCTACCCTTAAATTTTTATTCCGGCATAGATTGAAAAAAAGGATACAGCGAAAATTTAATGTCTTTAAGACGGGAAAGCAACATGGCCACATTTCCGTTCAACATTTACAATAATCAACTTTTTGAGAAAGATATAACCTTATACAAAATAGATGTGCTTACCCTGAACGTCATTTTTCAACATCCTTATTACACTCGATTCTTCTTTCGGGCCTTTGCTCGCTGAAATATTTCATAAACTTATTAAGTTTTCCATTTGCTGGTAATTTTCTTGATTTTTTTTCATTTTCTAGATTATTCAAATCATATTACTTAAATATCAAATAAATATAATGATTCAATGTTATTTGTTAAGTAATACTTGCCTTCCACTATCCATTTCAGCTTATTTCTCAACTGTGTGTTAAGTTTTACTACATCTTTGTATACATCAATATCTACAATAAAAGTTAATTTCAATAAAACGAATTTTGGTAGATTTTATATCTTGGGAATAACTCTACAATATCACTTTTCTATCAGCCGTTTTCAGTTTACCTTTAAAAAAACCAGATGAACAGGTGACTCTTTCTGAACGAATCAAACCAGTTTAAATATTCAAAATAAAGATATTATTTTATATCGCAAATTTGATATTATAAGTAAATAGAAAAAAATAAAATCTTTACTAAAAATAGGGTTAAGACAGTCCTTGTCGTATTTTTTTTAAATAAGAACAAATGCTCTATTTATCACTTTACTCGTTATCATTTTACATTATTTTGTTTTTATTTTTACTCTTAAGAATTCTGAAATAACCTAAAACTCACTGTTCAGTATGGATTGAGTGTCTTTTAACAGTTGCTTCGCCGTTTTTTTGGGTTTATCGTGAAAACATATCCCTAAAATATTTAAGACATGGTAAACTATCTTTTCATAAAAAAGTAATGTAGAATATACATAAGTATAAACAAATGTAAAAACAATTTAAACCAGGTTAAGCAACATGGTAAGAATGTATCATATGATTCCGACGTCATCTGGCAGGAAAACCTGTATTATCACAGATGTGGATGTTGGGGATCTATATTAACATTTTATTCTTATTGTACCTGACGAATATCGATTCTTCACTGATACTCTAGGTCAAAATATTTGAACATCTTCAACATAATAGGCTAGAATTACTTTAATTGAATTTGACTATGTTTGTGTATGTCTCAGTGTCATGTAGCTCCGAACGTTTCTACTAGAAAAAAGTAAAATAACAAAAATACCGAACTCCGAAGAAAATTCAAAACGGAAATTCCCTTATCAAATGGCAAAATCAAAAGCGCAAACACATCAAACGCATGGATAACAACTGTCATATTCCTGACTTGGTACAGGCATTTTCTTATGTAGAAAATGGTGGATTAAACCTGGTTTTATAGCTAGCTAAACCTCTCACTTGTATGACAGTTGCATAAAATTCCATTATATTGTCAACGATGTGTGAGCAAAACAAACTAGTTTATATATCAATGGCTTTGAAATGTTTCGGTTTATGCATTACGGTTGAAGTAAATCCAAAAATGCGCTTCGTTTATAAGTGTTATTTTCATATACGAACACTGTGTAGATAACTCTGCTATTAGTCCCCGAGGATTTCACCAGCCCAGTAGTATGTGCTTTGGTACTGATATGATTTATACATATAACTTGATAAATAAGGAAATTATTAAGAAACTTAGATTCCACCTTCCTCAGGGTAAATGTTACGTCCCTCGCTTCATAACGTAAAAATACGTTTGAACATTCCTGGTGAAGGTAAATCCAGAAAAGCGACGAATTTTGCAGAATATCTTTTTTTTATTGATTTCAAATTCAGCCAATACTTTTAAAAAAAGACAAAAGTGCTAAGGGAAATACCGACTTACTAATTGAAAACTAATTATGACAATGATATGAGTTAATAGGATTATTCAATTATTTACTAAAATCTGGTCATTTGTTTTAAAGCTTTTAAATATGTGGATATACTAACGGGACACCAGTTAGGAGCATGATTGGGTGTGAATTTACTCTTTACCGGAAGCTTTCTAATGGAAAATATGTGAGTGAGTTTGCATTAATAATATCAATTTGGATCTCGGAAGACACAATTAACATTAGGAATAAAAATAAACCTAAAAAAATATTTATTCCTCTTTTTGAAAATTCAGGGGAAAAAACAAATTAAAAATACCTTGTAATGAGTACATTATATCATCAACCTTTGTGTCCACGTCCGAAGATTCTCGCTTATAATTTGTCTGCCATTTATCAGTCAGGTCGTCGGATATTTCTCTCCGATTGGCCCCTGCTTGTGAGGTTTTCTGTTTTTTGATCGAGGCTAATAAGAAGAAATATTTTCTATTGGGAAACACGTTTACATATATATTACTTTGGTACATGAGCCTAAGAATCCAATGACTAATATATAAAGCCTACTGGTTTTTATGACTAAAATTTATACGTTCAAACCCACTTACAAACCTTACCCAAAAAAGAACACTGTAATGTAGAACGAAAACCTGTAATTATTTACAACATCGTCCAATGCTGTGGTTAAAAATTTATTTAGACATTCAAAGCATCAGTTGTATAGATTCATTGATCTAAATCTTATATCTCCTGATTGATAATTTAATATTTGAGTATAATAATAAGCTTTCCTACCTTCATAGTTTTCAATTGTAGCGCCTTCTACAAGCAACAAAATTACAAGGTAAAGGAAACTGACCAACATCGGCATCATGATGGGTGCTATTGACAAGCTGCTGTAAATCATCGTGTATACATAGGCATGACATTTACTAGCAGTAAACTATCAATTGCTTCGTAGCGTGACTTGAATTGTTTATTTGCATATCATGTTTCTCCTTTCAATGTCTTGTTTTCCGAAGACCACACCTAGATCCAAGAATACAATATGAAATGATTTCTTCGAATGCACACATTTTCACGATTTATTAAAATGTATTTTTTTTCATCTGCTGCAAGCGAAGTTTGGTATTCAAGGATTTTCTATTAAAAAAAGTAGAGTTGAATTTATCTTTTTACACTAATTATATGTTTACAGTATCACAAATGCATTCATAGTAAAGAATTAATTTTAAGACACCCTTTTCATTTTGTCTTAAGTCTTTGGTCCTTTTTCCAATTTCAGCTAGTTATGAGAATATTTAAAATTTAGATATTTGATCAATAAAACAATACAAATAATAAAACTTATTTTGTGACAATTTTTTTGTTATACTTGCGATCAGGAAATTATCCGATTTTTTAATAAAATTCTATAAATACATTTTAAAGGTTTTTAAGTGCACTGTGTATCATATAAAACCATGGTAAACATATCGAAATATTGACTATAGTTTTTGTTGTACTGATCTAATTCATTGTGTACATTGATTTAGCTTTTATTTTTAGATAAATTTTGGTTATTTGTTAAGTGTGTCAGTAGAGCTGATTCCTCTCTTTATATCCTATCCTTGTCGATCTACCCCTCATTTGTATTCTGTTTGTAAATGTTCCTTATTTAAGGATTTTTTAGAAACTAAGGTTCCAACTTCTTCAGGAAAACTTGATTTCATATGAATTTAAGGTCCATTCTGGTCATATACCATGAGCATGTTTTTCGATTCATTTACATGTTTGGCTTTCTAATTTTTGGCTTTGGCAATGCCTGATCTTGGGAAAGGGGTGGTGCTTTTCGACCTTTTTGTGGTAGGTTGAGTAGCTGAGACATTGAGTACCCGACCCTTTTCATATATTTTGAATAGCAAAAATATATACCCCATTATATACTTTTTAGAAGGATATGCCAACAGCTATCATGCTTACGCTATTTCAAGGAGCGTTTCGTCTTCTTAAGACTTACCAAAGGAGCTCGAATTAAAACATTTGCAAGGCCAAATCATATACGAAGTAAAAAAACATGAGAAACGAAATTTTCAAAAAAGTGTGCAAATACGGCTAAAGCAATTTATATACCTTGGACCCGAAAAATCTTTATGTTTGAATAATTCAAGATTTTATCAACAGTAAATTTACAGAAAATGATCATTTCAAGGATATTTTCTTGGTGATTTCTGAGCTGTGATACCATCGGGAATCAACCGTCGACCAGAAGTGCCATCAACCAAGTGGTTTTAAAAACTCCTCAAAGATACCAGTCTTATGATTTGGTACACCAGACATTTAGAAGCTAAGACGGTTAATTGTTATGTGTAAAGACTATCCACTAAGATTATCAAACACTAGTCTGTTATGATAAGAATGGTACGCTAGAAAAACGTATCTATGTTGAATTCACATACAGACTACACGGAAAGGGGAGATCAACAAGAATAGGATAAAAAGAGAGTAATCAGCTCTGCTGACACACTTAGATAGCCAAAACTTATCTAAAAATATAAGCTAAATCAATATACAGAATAATGTAAACAGTACGACGAAAACTATACAGTCAATATTTCAATATGTTTACCTTGGTTTTATTTGATACACAGTATACTTTAAAGCTTCGAAATGAATTATTAGATTTTATTCATCAATCGGAATTTTCCCATAAAGAGAATAACAAAAGTTGGTCATCAGATAAGCATTATTACTTGTATTTTTATTAATCAAATATCCATAAGAAATACTTTTATAACCGAAATTGGAAAAAGACCATAGATATATATAAATGAACGAACGTTCTAACATGAGCAATTTCCAATGAATATATTATTGATACTGTAAAAAAAAATATCAGTATAAAACATAAATTTCAGTTCTATTTTTGGAAAATCATCATAGAGAAAATCTTTGAATTCCGCACTTTGCTTGAAGGACATAAATAATTTACAAAAAAAATAATAAAGTTTGCAAAGTGTGTGCATTCGAAGAAATCATTTCATATTGTATTTTTGGATCTAGGTGTGGTCTTCGGAAAACAAGACATAACTTATTTTTCATACTTTTATAGCATTTCCTAATTGAAAGGAGAAACATAATATGCAAATAAACAATTTAAGTCACGCTACGAAGCAATTGATAGTTTACTGCTAGTAAATGTCATGCCTATGTATTCACGATGATTTACAGCAGAATGTCAATAGCACCCATCATGATGCCGATGTTGGTCAGTTTCTTTTACCTGGTAATGTTGTTGCGTGTAGAAGGCGCTAACATTGAAAACAATGACGGTAGGAAAGCTTATAATACTCAAATATTTCACTATCAAATGAAACAACAAAATATATGCTTTGAATGTGTAAAGATTTTTTTAACCGCGCAAAAAGATTGCACGTACTTCTTCAAAAATGCGCCATGATACTATAAGACTTGTTTTTTTTTCATGATTTTGTTGCTAGCTTTCAATCATGTGTGGTTAATATGCAGCACATGTGCATTGCAAAAAAATAATGTTATAACGAAATCGCCGATTGATAATAAATTAAACGTCTGTAGTAATTAGCGTGTCCGTCTGTATATCAGTCTGTCCGTCCGTGCAGCTTTGAGGCCATCAATCACATATCGTGTCCACTCTTGTAGATTATTGTAACTTTATCTTATTCTTGTCAATTCTAGAAGGTGAGTCGCGAACAAGGAAGAAAACCCATCAGTGGAGGTCATTGTCAACAACTTTAATTTAGCCATCCATGTGTACACATACACAAATCGTTTCCGCTTCCTAATTTTCAAACCCATTGGAGTATGACAATGTAACATGGCAGATTATTCATCATATCTGGAATGTGTGTCGGGTACAAGAAGGAAAACAATTCAATGGAAATCATGGCCAAATATTTGTTCAACTTTAAGTGCAACCCCATTGTACAAATACTAAACATTGTTTCAGCTCTGTAACTTTAAAATCCCTTAAAGTTTGGGGATGAATTAGTGGTGCATCAAACATTGTTTTGCTTTCCAAGGGTGTTAGCTACGTTTGAATATTACTTGTTTAGTCCTTCGGGCCCTCTGTGATTGCTGCGATCACTATTCCTTGTTTTCTTACTTGATGATTGACACCTAACATAGAAACTCGGAAAGTATCAAACTCTGTAGAACAATAAACTACATTTTGAGCAAGCAAGAACAAGAACAAGGTAAGTATTACTTAAGCATCGGGAGATTTATCTAATTGTATTTGTTTCCAGGAAGTCACAACTTAATACAGTCCGTAAGGAAAGTGAAATTACAAGATACTTTAATATATTTGGGGCACCGTATATGCAATTCGAAATTTACTTGTATTTTTCTCCTATTTCATTATTTTCATATTTTTTTGTTAAAAATATAAATACAGCGTAAAAGAAAATGCAGGTTGATTGCCAATACGACAAAATAAAAAAAGACGAAGGAACGAGGATGTGGACAATTACAGGCGATCTTCTTTTTAGCAATGTGTTTAGGGCATGCAAATTTGTTTGAACGTTTAACTTTAGTCATGCAGAACCATTAGCAATCATATATAAGTAAGTCATATATGTAATCGGTTGCACAACATAGAAAGTAATGTCGATTAATATTAAATTTTAGATTCGATAGAACAACAGGAAACTTCACATGCAGCGGCCATTCGGAGAGACATATCCGACGACTTGACAGATACAAGAAAAACTGTAGAAGATTTGACAAATTATAAGCGAGAATCCTCAGACGTGGACGCGAAGGTTGATGATATAATGCACTCATTACAAGGTAATATTAATTTGTTTTCCCCCGAATTTTGAAAAAAGAGAAAATGAAACAACTTCTATAATTTTTTTTTTCGTAAATTGTTATAAAACAGGCTTTTTGGTTTTCTCAAATAAATTGCATGTTTCATATTTTTCCTGTCTGGGCCTTTTATAGCCGACTATAGGGTATGGGTTTTTTCTCATTATTGAAGGCCGCACGGTTGACTATGATTGCTAACATCCACTTCATTTGAATTTTGGTGGATATTCGTCTCATTGGCAATCCTTCAACATCTTCTAATTTTTATATTAAAGTATTTTAACTTCTGAATTTTATTATACATTCCCAAAGCAATATGGGTGTTATTTTCCGTTTGAATACTAATAATATTTACGATACCATTTTTACCATACAGATGTGCATTATGACAATGCATGTCTTTTTAGTGATGCTCGAGGTCAAAATATTATGAAAATCCGAAATTTTTGAAAAAAATCAATGGCTTTTAAAGCAAAAAGGACAACAATATATCCGAAGACTGCTATCTCCCGGTAAAGTCCAGCGGTTCTTTTATGAAACTTCGGTTTTTATTTTGGTTATATTTGCAGTGTATATATCCAATGCATTTGATATATCAGCTTTTCCACGTTTGTATCATAAAAATAAAACTGGATTTACCTTCCAACTTAAAGATTTGAAAGCCAGGGTCGTATAAACATGTTAGGAGCTATGTCAAGAAAAGGGATATAAAATGCACAGACCAATTCATCAAACGTCAGCTTTTCTTTAGAAAGTTGGGACCTACGTTTCTAAATAATTTCCTTATTAATCAAGTTATATTTATAAATCATGTCAGAACCAAAGCAATGACTACTTACCTCATGAAAACCCTCGGGGACTAATAGTTCACCAGCAGAGTTATCTACACAGTGCTCGTGTATGAAAATAACACTTATAAACGAAGCGCTTTATTTTGGATTTACCTCATCCGGAATGCATAAACCCAAACATGTCAAAGCCATAGATATATAAACTAGTAAAAACTTTAGGAGCCATATGACAAAAGGGACATACACAAATATAGTCAAATTCAATTAAAGTAACTTTATACAGTTTTTATTGTATTCCCTGTGTTTATACTTATATATATTCCACTTTACGTTGTTATGAAAAGATAGTTTACAATGTCTAAAATACTTTAGGGATATGTTTTCACGATAAACCCAAAAACACAGCGAAGCAACTGTTAAAAGACACTCAATCCATACTGAACAGTAAGTGTTATGTTATTTCATTATTCTTAAAAGTAAAAATTAAAGCAACAAAATGTATTTACTTCACTTACATGTACTTCAATTGGTTCTGTTAAATGTTTAGTGATAACTACAGCATTTGTTCTTATCTTAGAAAATTACGACAAGGACTGTCTTAAACCTATTTTTTAGTAAAGATTTCATTTTTTTCTATTAACTTATCGTATCAAATTTGCAATATCAAATAATATTTTTATTTTGAATATTTTAACTGGTTTGATTCGTTCAGAAAGAGTCACATGTTCATCTGGTTTTTTTAAAGGTAGACTGAAAACTGCTGATAGAAAAGTAATATTGTAGAGTTATTCCCAAGATATTAAATCTACCAAAATTCGTTTTATTGAAAACAGCTTTTATTGTAGATATTGATGTATACAGTGATGTAGTTAAACTTAACACACAGTTGAGAAATAAGTTGAAATGGATAGTGGAAGGCAAGTATTACTTGAAAAATAACATTGAATCATTATATTTATTTGATATTTAAGTAAACGAATTGAATAATCTAGAAAATGAAAAAAAATCAATAAATTACCAGCAAATGGAAAACTTAATAAGTTTACAAAATATTTCAGCAAGCAAAGGCCCGAAAGAAGAATCGAGTGTAATAAGGATGTTGAAAAATGACGTTCAGGGTAAGCAAATCTATTTTGTATAAGATTGTCACACTCGCAAACAGCTGATTATTGTAAATGTTGAACGTAAAATGTGGCCATGTTGCTTTTTCGTCCTAAAGATGTCAAATTTTCGCTGTATCTTTTTTTCAAACTTTGCCTTTATCGAACTTTAAGAGTTGAACCAAACTGACACATGTTTGCAATACTATTTCTGAATGCTGCAAAAGTTAAATGAAACAGAATTCAAAAAATAATGAATAAGTATAAATGTGCATATTGTTTATGATATATGAAAAAGAGTTATCAAAATAAACCGTGCACAGAATATTTATTGTCTTCCCCTGAGATCTCGCGTTCGTACGATCTTTTCTGTCTATTCGTTAGCTGAAAGAAAGAAACATCAAACACCTTAAGTATTAGAAATTAGAATTTTATCTATGTATTAGGTTTACACACATGCTTTTTTTTAAATTCCCGTCCAACAAATATCTTCCCATGTTGGTGGTAGTTCTTATTTTTGTATCAATTTTCACGCCTCATTAAAACAAGTACTTACTGTTTCATTGTTTTATGCCAAGTGTTCTTAGATTTACATGATTCAGTCTAGTAGACGTTTGCATGTTTTATGTTTTTTTGTCGTCTTTGTGAAGCTATACATGGCAGTTTTTGTAGGGGATGTTGCCAATCCAAGGTTAGGCTTATGACATGAAAGAATATTTGACTAATAATTGTAGGTCTGTGCAAGCCTTTGGGTTTAAATACACCACAGGACTGTACTGAATTGAAGAAGGTACATAAGAAGAGCGGTGTCTACACTATATACCCAGACAATTCTACAGCTATGACAGTCTACTGTAACATGAATGACTACGGTGGAGGTTGGACGGTAAGTGTTACATTATGAATGAATACGTTTCCATATTGAATTAAGAAAAAATTCATGGAAGCCATAGATTTGTTGGACATTTACACATGGCCTGGACCGTGATATTCGAATTTTCTCCTGAGCGTTAGCAAGGGATAAAATTAACAAATATAACGGCTCAGGCCATGTGTAAATGTCCAACAAATATATGGCTTCCATGAATTATTTCAATTCTAATAGGACAAATACGGTAATTTAAAAACTGAAGCGAACGTAAGATTGCCGTGTGTATGGCTGTTCTATTTTACCCCCTGTAAGATAAAAGCTACAAATGTCATATAAATCTAAGTCTTACATGAATTATTTCTCAAATAAGCAGTATAAAAAATGTGTTCAATTCTCATAATTCTTAACCCAAACATTCATTTTTCGTTGACTACTATTTACTAACAAATCCAGAGTTGACATGTCGTAACTAAGGAGTGAGCCGCCATGTTGACTTGCTGAAATCCACAAATGTGCGAATAATGCAATGGAATAGAAAATGAAACAACGCCTACCTCAAAACTCCATTTTAATGCAATATTATCCAAACTTAGGGCGTATACGTAACGAAAAACATTCAGCTTTAGAGTTTTCATTCGTATGACGTCATGTTATGACATGACGTTAATGCGCCAAGATCATTCATGAAATTTGGCGGAATTTTATTTTATTTTGATTTTATACATTTTTTAAGCTCTTGTTCATTAATTCTTTTTGTTATGCAATATTATAGGAATAACGGTTCTGTAGCTTCTTTTTCAATTTCAATTTGGACACAACGAAATCGACATAGTGTTTGCACATAGGTTACGATACATGTGGATTTACGTGGGAGGTAAATAGTAACAGCAACTACTATGCACATCTCTGAGTCTGCGCTAAGTATAGATATATCGCGAATTTTATCACGGTGTTGTTTACAAAGCGAAAGAAGCACGTCATATTAGAATTAATTCCAATAGACGGTAAACTGAATAAGAATGACAAATAAACGAGTCAAGTATTACTGTCATTAACATTTAAGGAAGACATTGACGACAGTAGACATGTGTGACTTTTCAATCATATAAAACAAACAACACATACGATGTTTTTCTCCCGTAACAATTATTTGTGATTTTCATATTAAAATTTTTTCCGAAGATTATCTCCTGTTTTTGGTTGATTTTGTTTTACTAGATCCATGCTCTTTAGCGTTGTAAATTATTTATTTTTAACTTTTTTTGGTTTTTTTTTTATCTTTTTCACTTTTATTCTCGACATGATTTTCTTTGCCATTATCGACAAATTATTGTGATTTCAACTTGTGATTTCGTTTTTATCATGTATTAATTGAATTTTCCTATAAGGTAGAAAATGTAATTTGAGTTACTAGTAATGTACACCTTTTCAATACCTGTACCCTAAATTTATGTTTAACAAGCTTTTAGTTTTGCACAATGCATCTTCGCCCAGAAAAAGTATGGGTGGATTTCAATAGTTATCAAAGGTACCAGGATTATAATCGAATACGCCAGACGCGCGTTTCGTCTACATAAGACTTATCAGTGACGCTCAGATCAAAATAGTTATAAAGCCAAACAAGTACAAAGTTGAAGAGCATTGAGGACCCAAAATTCCAAAAAAAATGTGCCAAATACGGCTAAGGTATTCTATTCCTGGGATAAGAAAATCCTTAGTTTTCAAAATGTCATTATTTCTAATGATAAAACGCTGTTCTTGGACTATTTGATAAAACTATTTCGCAACAGAAAGCAGTACACTAAAAATTACTTTACATACGTGGTTAAAAATGTGAAACAGATGCTGCTTTACACATTGCCCCTTTTGAAATTCCAATGGAATTATTCTATTTCCATTTATATATATATGATGATATAGGGAAATGTTTTCTTTTGTTATTGATCGTTATAAATTAAAACATACATTATGCCTATTTGTTCTTTATTTTGTAAAGGTATTGCAAAGACGACAGGATATTACAAATTTTTACAGAACATGGACAGAGTACAGAAAAGGATTTGGGAATGTCGAAAAGAGTTTTTGGCTAGGTGATTGTTGTATGAGTGCAATTATTATTCATCTTGCATTCCCTGCAGATAAAATAGAAATAGTGAAAACATTTTGGTAAATGTTGAACACTCTCATCAATATTCAACATGATGTAAGAAAAATATTGTAACAAAAATACCGAACTCCAAGACAAATTCAAAAAGCTAAAGTCCATAAAAACTGACAAAATCAAACTCTATCAATTAAATATGAAATTTATTTTCTAACTGTTACATGTAATCTTGATGGATTAAAGAAAACAAAGTATAAATATTTCAATTATTTCAACATACAATTTTTTAGTTTTAATCGTACAATCCTTGTTTTTTTTTAAAAACAGGGAACGATAATATACATATTTTGACTTCAAGTGGAAAGTATGAGTTAAGGATAGACTTAGGTGACTGGACGGGGAACAAATGGTATGCCATCTACAAGACATTCCTAGTTGGAAACGAAGCAAACAAGTATATTTTGAAGGTTGGAGGATACAGTGGGAATGCAAGTAAGTTTATTTACATTGAACAAAAAATGACACAATATTTGAATACTCTCATAAATGTTAGTACTTTGCGCTTGTATCTTTGATAAATTTCTTAGAAGCACATGATATTTAAATCTATAATAGGATTTAAATAAATTTAAGATTTAGGCTGAGTTGAACTTGTTTGAGGAAAGTTATGCTCAAATTTTCATACAAAGTGCAAATTTATTCGACTTAACAACGATTGTTTCAAGCTAAAATATTTATATTTACATTATCAATGTACATGAGTAATAATATTTATTTAATAGGTGTACATATTATAATAATTTTTTTAATCAATGATAGACTAAATCTAGATTAAACGATTGTCTCTATGTATATCACGAATATGCAGAGGAAATTGTGTGCCTTAGAGACATAGATATTATCAAGAAAACAAGAACATATTTTACACTCTTTCAAATTCCGGATGCACATTTTTGTGTAGGCTTATTTCATTGTTATTTGTTATTTAAAAATAGTAAAAATAAAAGGAAGATTATGATTGACATGTTAACGTTCATTGTTCGTTTTTAAGCTTTCATTTGATTTATCTAAGTCATGCTGAAAAAGGTAGTACATACACAAGAAGGTCTGATTCATGTGTAGATCTTTATTGTTGGTAATGAACACTATTGATAACTCAGAACTAGCATCTATAAACAATTGTGTTCCTATTTTCAATTTCCTTGTGTAGAAACATACAATCTATCAAAATATGCTTTATATCGTATTATGTGTTTTGCATTTATGTGTTGAAGACACACAAGATTGGAGAAAAGCGACTGATAGCTAATATATCAACGGGATTTCAAATAAAAAATTAAATGGTAGGCTTATACGAACTTAAAGTGTAAAACAAACCTTTATGAAACTACAAATAAAATAAAAAGATAGATTAAGTAAATGAAGAACTAAAGTTTACTCTATTATTGATAATTATAATTGAATCTATTTCATCACAGAAGATGGTTTGACGTATCATAACGGAATGAAGTTTTCAACGAAAGATCATGACAATGATAAGTCTTCCAGTAACTGTGCAGAGAAAGCTAAAGGAGGATGGTGGTATAACAATTGTCATCATTCAAATCTAAATGGTATCTACAAGACGCAACAAACAAGTCACTGGGATGGTGTCAGTTGGAATTTGATAAAGGGTAGCAGCTATTCTATGAAGTATGCCCGCATGATGATAAGACGGTTTTAAAATATTTTAGTTTTGCCAAAGATATGGAATCTCATATAGCATGATTGACACATTTTGAATTCGGAATCAGTCAAATTACTTTTAACATTTGCAGAATATTTAAGATGAGAAATCATTGTTAGACATTTCTTATCTGACTTTGTTATGTTTAAAAGTTATTTCTTAAAAATTAAAATATATCACAATATTACGTGAGTTATAGCAATAAATATAGAAGCAATCACGAATGAATAAAACATCGACGTGAAGTTCATAAATAAGCAAGCATGTTACATGTCTACGATGATTTTATTTTGGTCTAGTAAAGATAAAGGTTACATACGCAAGACTGTCTTCTTTCAACTTGCATGAAAGGAATACTAGAGGTCATCAACGGGTCATTATGTGGTCTTCAACAATAGACAAGTGTCTATAAAAATAGTTCATTTCTAAATTAGACAACAAAAGAAAAAATCCTATGCTTACCAACCACATGGAGACATATCCCAATTGTTACTTCCTTATATTCGAAATTCAATCTAAATATAAAATTATGATAGAAAGTATTGCATTTGTTTCTCATTAGCTACAGTTAGCTACTATTTTCTTTGGACGAAACGCGCGTCTTGTGTATTAAATTTTAAACCTGGTACCTTTTGTTAGCTATTATTCGTATGTTTCTCTGTCCAATATGTTCTCCCATTTATTTGTATTGTAGTCCTGTCATGTAATGTTGTCATTTTAATGTTATATTTAACATTGCCATAAAAGTGGGAGATTTGGCTAGCCACAAAACCAGGTTCAACCCACAATTTTTTTCTTAAAATGTCCTGTACAAAGTCAGGAAAATGGCCATTGTTATATTATAGTTCGTTTCTGTGTGTGCTACATTCTAATGTTGTGTTTCTGTTGTGTCGTAGTTCTCCTCTTATATTTGATGTGTTTCCCTCAGTTTTAGTTTGTAACCCGGATTTGTTTTTTTCTCAATCGATGAATGAATTTCGAACAGCGGTATACTACTGTTGCCTTTATTTACTTTACTCTGAGTCCAACAATATATGGTTTCTATGTACTGTTGCTTTAAAGAAGATAAATTGCTGCTTCCGCTTTACAAAATTTCATTTATAGCAAAGGGCAATATCTAGATCGTCAAGTAAAACTTTGATCTTGACCTCAATTTCTTGTTATAAAGAAATGAACTCCATTCAAAAGACCATAGGTGTCTACTATATATGGTAAATGAGATACAGCTTATTTCAAACTTACAATATGGTAAAAATATTTTGTTGATGTTGATATATTATACGGAGTTTTAGTGGAAGAGATAACAAAAGTAAAAAGTTAGAACATGACCTTGACATTTGATCGTGATCTTAATTTTCCTTTTGAGGGAACAAGGACCTTATATTTTAATACCAAAGGTCTCTATAACTAAGGGCTTCCATCAAAATTGAATAGAACATACCAAAAGCTATAAAACAAAACCCAACGCAGTTTCAATTACGAAAATGGCCGTAACAGAATAATAATTAGAAAGGTTTAAGCCGTAAATATCTTACTTTAAACTCATACGAAGCACTAAGCACTAAGCGCTAAGGATACTTATCTTTCCTGAGCATCTGAGTTCATCCGCCTAAAATGGGATATTTAAACCGTCCAACCTAAATTTACCCGCAAAAAACAAACAAACAAAAAAACAAACGAACAAAACGATGAGCAAACCCCAACCCAAAAAACCCTTGTGACTTCAAATTTCTTGGGAAATATTTACTGCCCAATAAAATCTCCACTAGTTGAGGAGTTCCTGGTTGCATGATATAAAGTGTAGATGTTTTCTTTATGTATTCTCAAAAAGTTGGTACTTTATTCGGTTTTCCAATGTAGACACTCTCATGTTGTTAGTCTTAAACTGGAGATTTTATTTCACTTTCAGCGCACTATACTAAAACGTTTAGATATTGTATAGTGTATGCATCTGAACTTCAAGTCTTTGATTAAATCTGTATCAGGAAGACGAGTTTTTTTTAAATATGGAATGTTTCTTACCCGTTTTTGCGTACCTACAAATGCACTTTAGTGTTTTGAGTGCCGTTCGGTTGCTGTGTCATTGACGAATACCCCACTTCTTCTTTCATTCAATTTGCTACTGAACGTTAAGTAACCAACAATCAGTCAATCTTTTTATTCAAATTAATGACAAAAAACTATGTGTGCTTAAGAAATATGTATCCATATATAAAAAAATACCTCGAAACTTTGAATATACCCTGCTTGAACACATTTTGGCCAGAGCGACCGACTTTAATGTACATGAACTTGAATAAAGTTTACTATTGGAAGCATTCAAATAACGGTCCGCATGTCAGTCTATTTGGACACATCTTTCTGACTTCGAGTGTCTTTTATTATATATCGTCTAAATGAGACATGCTTATCAAAGAGGCATCAAACCCATTTGAACTTGACCTGAATTCCTTTACTTCTAGCGCGCATCCTAGCAAGAGACCATCCAAGTGGTTCATTTTGTTAAGATTCCTATTGGTGATTTGCTCCTATAATTATCTAACATTATTGGATAGTTTGAGTAAAACTTAATGATTTTAAAGCCCGCTTTTAACTCTTTTTCTATCAGCTCGGGGTTAGATCTTAAGTAAACATAATTAGCATACATGTATTTTAACAGCTGTTAGCCGAATAAATTGTACGACTTACTTCATTGTTTTATCTTTGATTTATTATTGCGTAGACCTACATGTAAATATGCCACCTCCATCGTCCAAGTCTTTGTCATACTTTAAATTTTTAAACAATCCACAGAATTTTTTTCAGAGACACCAGAAAAAGTAAAATAATCAACGGTTTAAGACATTGTCAATTCATCAATGTTCATCTGCTCAATCTAAAGTTATTAGGAACGCCATAGTAGATATGGTAATATGGGATTATCAAAAGTAAAACTCACCAGAAATGCTCAAAGCCAAGCCTTAAAATGACTTGAATAAACTTAAATTTATCGTATGATAAAACCGAGCATTTGTAGAGGACTGCAGATACGACCTTTAAACAATCAACTTAACAATCAGTTAACCGGTTAATCGGCTGAAAGATTATCCGAGTAACAGGTTAGGCAAAACTGTTCAATTTGATAACCTTTGTTATCAACAAAGAGTAGGTTCCAACTAGCATCGCACAAAGATATTCTAACAAAGGAACACAAGACTTCTCAGTACAACACAGTAATCTCTTTCGAGCCAACAGTGACGTAAACATACTGTTACAGGACGGGTGAGTGTGTAAAAGGTTGAGTAAAAGGTTTTTATGCAGGTTAACACACTGATGACTATGTTATCGGAAAATTCTAATATAGATCTGTCAACACTTGTATTGAGTTACAAACTATGCATACCGGTAGCATAGCTGGCTAAATAGTCAAGGCAATGGTAGCGTAACAGGCAAAATAGCTAAGGCACTGGTTTAAATATGGTAGTCCAGAAACTCATTGAAATTGACTTTCCGTTTCGGTTTTCCTTGGAGTTTGGTATTTTTGTTATTTTACTTTTTATTACATGTACAACAGATAACAAGATTGATTTTAGCTTTACAATTTATCATATACAAAACATTCAACACTCTTCCAAGAATAAATCAAATAAAAACACACCAAAGCACTTTAGTTATAAAATACACAGAGACTCCCCTTTTTGGTACCTTAATCGGTAGTCAACATCGTAGTAAACGTAGAAAAACATATAAGTCAATCAGGGTTTGGTCCATTTATATGAGTGCATACAATATCAGATGTACGTGTATTTAACGGGTTGCAACTACTTCGGCGTATTTTGTTTGCTCTGGTAATTTCTTTGGTTTCAGGAGTGAACGCCCTGCTAACGGGCGGCCGTCTTTCTTAGAATTGTTTTGCACTTTGTCAAGTTGGATAATGGACAAACGGGACTTCACTAAGCTTACTCTGAGCATGTATTGGCCCCGATTACAATATTCAGGTCTTTTGCAAATAAAATAGAAAGATAATAAAGTGGGAGCGTGTGAAATAAGGATAAACAGAAGTTGGGAACCGTCGTTCGTCATGGGACAACAATGAAGACCAAATCTCTATCACTACTCCCAGAGACCTTGCTAACAATATTTACATACAATAACAATAAAAGCATATGTAATATTCATCAAATGTCTTTGTATACACGTTGGCTAACAGTAAACGACGATCGCGAAGATAGAAGTGAATGTTTAGTGAGTAACCCGAAAAAGTCGTATGTACAAACCTACAGCCTACCCCCTAAAATGTAACACTACTATTACTAGCCCATATACAGTGAGTGCCTGATGAGTTCAATAATGCCCTATCTATCAAAGCTTTCGTTTGTTTAAAATAAGTTTAAATGTCCTGCCCTTCATTTCTTTCGACCTTCCTTACTGAACTTACCAAATGTATTCATTGTTTGTCTATTCATTTAAAATTCTTTAGTTTAACCTGATAATTTCATAAATTTTCACGGTTTAATTATATACGTACACCCTTTCCCTTTTATATAAATGTATAAGAGTTTATACATTGTAACGCTTTTTTATCAGGCACTAAATAAACAAAAACCACAATCAAATAGATCACATAGAACATGATTCGGACGATCATCTTCCTTTATTTGTAAGTTATCGTCTTGAATCAATTTTACTAAAGAGAATTAATAAAGATAAAACAACATATTCGAGGGGGAGACAACTAATATCACTGTGTATTTAGGAGTGCTAAACGGGAGAACACTTGGTGACTTGAATGGATTTTATACATGCCACCAACCATTAGGCAGCAGTACAGTAGATTATATTATAGTTTCATAAGATTTATTACCATGTGTAACATATTTTAAAGTACACGAGCTTAATCCTGAATTAACTGATCATTGTCAAATTTCATGTATGTTACAATGTAATTATAAAACAGAAAAAGCACAAGGCACATCGGTTTTAATGCCCAAGATAAATATATTTGGTCAGAGAATTCTCAGAATAAATTTCTAGATACATAAACTCACGAGAAATCAGTAAAATGATATCAAAACTTAATACATGTGATTCACATAATATTGAAGAACTTGTGGGAGATTTAAATACTATATTTTTGAAAACTGCAGTTATTTCATTGAGATAAAAAGAAATATTAAAGTTTAAAAAACCAATTAAGAAAAACAA